GATCTCCTGACCTCGTGATCCGCCCGTCTCGGCCTCCCAAAGTGCTGGGATTACAGGCTTGAGCCACCGCGCCCGGCCATGGGCAGTTTCAAGGCAGACACCTGACCCATGGTCAGGCTGTTAGTGCCAGGCACTGTGCACTGGGCCAACCGCCCTCTCAGCCTCTTCCCAGCACATCCTGGCACCAAAGGATGGAGACTGCCATGGGGCTCTGGGTGGAGCCCATGGGGCACCAGCCTCTGACCCAGCTTCCTTCTGGGAGCACAGCCCCCTACCCACTTTCCATTGTCCGAGGCCTGGCGAGCTCAGGATGGAGGTCGATTCATGACATTCCCTCTAGGCTCTTCCTGTGGCTCAGACTGGGAAAAGGAACGGGTTGGTGGTTGGAAGGGCTGGTCTTCCCATGAGCCCCAGGGTGGGGCTGGGGATAGGTCTCAGTCCTTCTCTCTGAAAGGTGAAGACACGTTCCTTCCTTCATTCGGCTCTTGGGAGCTGAGAAAAGACTTTGACAGCCGGGCTGTGGAAGGGACAGAGGGCGATGGCTAACACTTGTCAGCCCTGCCTGACTCCATGTGGTTTCAGAGAGTGACTTGCATTCCTTGAGTCTCAGTTTCCTCATGCTTGTCTCTCACTGGACATCTCTGAGCGTGTCCATCCCCTCAGGGCCTGGGGCAGCCCTCTGATAGAGGAGGAGGAAGGGTGCCAGCCACAGTTCTGCTAAGCCCTACCTCTCCTGCCAGGTACCCCACCTCAACCAGAATGCCTGGAACAACCTGGAGAAATACAGCCGCAGCTTGACCCGCAGCTACCAAAACGTCTATGTCTGCACAGGGCCACTCTTCCTGCCCAGGTAAGGTGGAAACCAGGGGGCCGGGGGGCGGCAGAACCTGCCACTCACAGGGCCAGGCTCGCCCCAGGCTCTGGGTCAATACCAGTTCCCTACTCATCTGGTTTCCTGGCAAGCCTGTCAGCTTTCCTGCCTCTGGTCCCCTCATTCCACTTCCACAGCTCAAGACCTGTCGGGTACCCCTGACCATCTCTCCTCTGCCCATGGGCAGCAGCAGGCCCTGAATCTGCCCCCGCTTCTCCCTGCTGTCACCTCTTGGCATGCCCAACCGATCCTGTTCTGCCCATATGGAAACCCCTGCAGGTCCCTGGTGCACCGAGCTCTCCCACCTTCAGTCTCTGCTCTGCTTGGAGCACTTTCCTCCACCCTTCTCAGGAGTTTGAACCTAGATCTGCCTGACTTGGTGCCTCCACTCTTGCCCCTCTGCAGCCCTGCGTCTCAGATGGAAGCAACGGAGCACCTCTGGGCATGCTCTGTGGTTTTTCTGGCCTGCAGAGGGCTGGGACTGAGAGGCAACATGTGGAGCTGAGCAGCTCACTCTGGAATCCACAGGTTTGGGATGGAGTCCAGGCCTGCCTCATCCCCTAGTTCCTTGGTGCTGTGGGCAAAGGACCTGTGTCCTCCACTGTAAAACCTGCGACCTCTTGGTTGATGTCACGTGCTTCCCCAGGGCCTGGCCCACAGGCTGGCCAAGGTGGTGGTTGGGGCACTGATCAAATTTCTTTTTTTTTTTTTGAGACGGAGTCTCGCTCTGTTGCCCAGGCTGGACTGCAGTGGCCGGATCTCAGCTCACTGCAAGCTCCGCCTCCCGGGTTTACGCCATTCTCCTGCCTCAGCCTCCCGAGTGGCTGGGACTACAGGCGCTCGCCACCTCGCCCTGCTAGATTTTTGTGTTTTTTAGTAGAGACGGGGTTTCACCGTGTTAGCCAGGATGGTCTTGATCTCCTGACCTCGTGATCCGCCCGTCTTGGCCTCCCAAAGTGCTGGGATTACAGGCTTGAGCCACCGCGCCCGGCCTGATCAAATTTCATTAGCAGGTGCCTCCTAGGGCCCGGGGCAAGGGAGGAGACTCTGCTGAGGGGAAGCTCCCGTCCCGTGTCCTGGCACCTGTGCTGGTGCTGGGATGTCACCTGTCATGGTCCTTGCCCACTTGGTGCTCACCCCCGTGGGGAGAGACGGACAGTTTTTAAGTCTCCCCCCAGATGAATGTGAATGTGCAGAAGGCTCAATTCTTCCAGCGGCATTTATTGTCGCCCACTCTGCCTGACCCAGTGTTGGGCATAAGGAAAACAGAGGGAGAGTTAACCTCCACCCTGGAGAGAGTTCCAGCCTCAAGGAGGAGCCAGGCGGGCTACAGAAGTCTCACAGTGAGGGAGTGGTCCTGCAGGCTGACAGAAGTTAAAGGACAGATCAGGGAAGGCTTCCTTGAAGAGGTGGCCTTGGGTTCATCCAGGCCTCCTGCCCACGTGTGCCTGGGTCTGCCTACAGGACAGAGGCTGATGGGAAATCCTATGTGAAGTACCAGGTCATCGGCAAAAACCACGTGGCAGTGCCCACACACTTCTTCAAGGTGCTGATCCTGGAGGCCGCAGGCGGGCAAATTGAGCTCCGCTCCTACGTGATGCCCAACGCACCTGTGGACGAGGCCATCCCACTGGAGCGCTTCCTGGTGCCCATCGAGAGCATTGAGCGGGCCTCGGGGCTGCTCTTTGTGCCAAACATCCTGGCGCGGGCAGGCAGCCTCAAGGCCATCACGGCGGGCAGTAAGTGAGGGCGGAGCCCAGCAAGGCTGGGCGTGTGCAGGCCGGGGAGCATTAAAGGTGGTGATTTTTGGAGACAAGTCTGGCGGCGTCCATCCCAAGTGACCTGCAGAGCCCCTGGTTTCACTGCTGCTTCACTGATGTCCTGGGCCCCTTAGAACTTTCAGGGGTGCTGGGCACCGGCCTGGGTGAGGCCAGGCTGCAGGGCGGCCAGGGAGATGAGGATGGCCTCCTGGAAGAGAAGTGTGGCAGTGGGCTGGGGACTGGGAGGCTAGCGGGTGCCCCCACTCCTAGCCTGTCTTCAGTGCCTGCTGCCCAAGACCCAGCCCACTGGGGTCCCCTGTCCTTAGCAGAGCCTGGTGAGGTTAACGACAGGCCCAGGTTCACACTGCACACTTGCCACCTGGAGGACCACATAGCTTCCTCTTCTGAGCCTGAGAAGAGGACCTCAGGCTCCTCTTCTGTAAAATGAGGGTAAAGGTAACAATGCCCACCTCCCAGGGCCAGGGGAGGGCAAGGAGGTGGGCAAGAAGTTCTCAGCCCTCACGCAGGGATGGGAAGCGGGGGAGCCAGGGTTCTGGCTGGGGGGTGTGGCTATCAGGCTCAGTGCTTGGCTTGGGCGAGGCCTTAGGGATAGGTAGACAGGGCTGTCAGCCCTGCGAGACTGATGGGAGGACCAGCCTCGCCGGCAGTTCCTGTAGCACAGCGTGTTACGCCTGGCTCCAGAAGTGGTTCCATGAGGCCCAGGACGAAGGCTCCAGCTGCACGTGGCTTCCCCCGTGGGACAGATGCAAGTGAGACCCCAAGAGGAGAGCTGCTGTGCCCACCGTGGTCATACACAAGGAAGGAGCAGAACCAGGGCTCTGGGAGATCACTGAGCGCACAGCTAAGGAACCAGAGGCCCGGAGCAGGGGTGGGCAGGGCCCTCTGGGTCACCTGCCTGGGAGCACAGGACGGGCACTAGCACCCATGGTTGACTCTCAGCTACACTCATGTCCCATCGCTGTGGCAAGAGGCCAAGAGGGGATGAGAGGACCACCTCCAGACAAGGCACCATGGGCAAGGGTGGGTGACAGGGCAAGAGTGGCAACTGCCCCTTGGACAGATCCCAAGGCCCCAGCGGCTGGCGGTCGGGGAGGCAGGCGGGCTCACCTCCGTGCGGATGGTGCGGCTACCCTGGCCAGGACAGGTATTCACGTAGAAGTCAAAGAGGACACTGGGTTCAGCCACCTCCAGGTTGGGGTCAGCATCCACTCCAGCTTCCAGCCCCTGGAGGCCCCCGAACACCACAAGAGCATGCCTGGCACATGTAAGAGGGGGTGACTTGAGTGGTCATCGAGGCCCCACCCAGCACAGCGCCCAGACCTGTCCCTCCATACCCCAGACAGCAGGGGCCCATCTGTGCAGCTTCACCCACCAGGCAGGTTCCTGGCCACATTCCTCCTGCCCTGGTCCCGGCCCCAGGAGGTACACACCTGAAGCTGGGAAGGTGGGCAGAGGCCACATCCGAGCCACGCTCTGACGTCCCGATGGTCAGGTCATACCCGTCCTGGAAGGGGGCCTCAGCAAACACAGCACCTGGGGATGGGGCCAACTCAGTGCGGGTCCTGATCCCCACAAGCCGCAGCTCTGGGTATGTGTGTGTGTACTGAGGCAGGGGTGGGTGGGAAGAGCTCTGTGTGTGTGTGTACTAAGGTAGGGGTGGGTGGGAAGAGCTCTGTGTGTGTGTGTGTACTGAGGTAGGGGTGTGTGTGTACCGAGGCAGCGGTGGGTAGAGCTGTTCCTGGGAAGTCAAGGACTGAGCAGGGCGGACACCAAGCCTGTGCTTGGCTGGGGAACAGGGCAGAGACTGGATAGGAAGAGGCACCAAGAGCATGAAGTGGGCCTCTGACTTCTCTGGCCCTTCTGCCTCCATTCCCAACTCTACAGAAACATTGATCAATGATGATACTTTGGCTCAGTAGTCCTTAACAGCATTCCAAGCAGTACATCCAGGGGGAACAAGGCCCAGAGAAGGAAAAGGACTTGCCCAAGGACACACAGCAAGTTGATAGGACAAAAACCTTAGTCTGATATTTGGGTCAGGCAAGGCTCCTGGCCACCTCCCAAAGGGATGGATGGATATTCAGAGAAGTGAGCTCTGTGCTTACTGAGGCAGGAAGCCAGTCGGACGGTGTAGCCCCAGTAGAGACCAGCTTTGGTGCGAGGGTCCTGTGATGACACCACTTTGCCACGGTAGGTCTTGCATTCTGGAGGGGTAACAGAGTCTGTAAAGATGGGGTGAGGGAATGGAAGGAGGCGGCTGAACCCTGGAGCTCGTCAGGCCAACCCAGGGGCTGGGGAACCTTCCAGATACCTGGGAGCTGCTGCTGGTTCAGTCGCACGGTCACCCGAAGCCCAGGCTCCAGGTTCTTGTCAATCTTCACTTCCTGGGGAGAAGCCAGAAGAAATGGGTGCCATTCCTCTCAAGATCAGCAGGGGCCGTGGCTCTTCCAGATGCCACCAGGGGAGCCCTGGGGCTGGCAAGGGACCAAGGGGTCCAGGTCAACCTATCACCCTCCACCCCTGGCACCAGCTGAACCTGCTCACAAGAGACCATTTGTGCAAAACACAGGTCACTAGCCGAACACATGCCTTTGGGGCGCTCATGGCACAAGGTAGAAGAAGTACATGAAACCCAGTTTTCTGCATTTTGGTAGCTCTGCCACTTTGAGTTGGAGTCTGGCTCTGTCACCCGGGCTGGAGTGCAGTGGCGCGATCTCAGCTCAATGTAAACTCTGTCTCCTGGGTTCATGTGAATCTCCCGCCTCAGCCTCCTGAGTAGCTGGGATTACGGACGCGTGCCACCACACCTGGCTCATTTTTATACTTCTAGTAGAGACGGGGTTTCACCATATGGGTCTCAAACTCCTGACCTCAAATGATCTGCCTCCCTCAGTGTCCCAAAGTTCTGGGATTACAGGCGTGAGCCACTGCGCCTGGGTTGTGCTTTCTGATGGGAGGGGACTCCATACATGCAAAGGTTTCTGCCTCTGATTTGAGAAGACTTGAGGGTAAAGAGGTAGCAAATTAATGCCCTCGTCCCAGCTTGGCTCTGTGCCACCCGGGAGCAGCTCCAGAGTGACTTTCAACTTGTTTCTGCAGGGTTTTGTTTGGAGCATGAGAACTGTCTTCTGTTGATTTGCTTTTTAAGCAACAGTAAATTCATTCTTGGCTTTATCTATTGAGCCCCATTTTGCACAATTCTCTGGCCCAAATTTGCATCAGTGAGGGATTTGGGGCAGCTCCAGGACTCCCCCCAACATCCATCTGCTTGCGCTCCATCGCTAGGGTGTGTCCTGGAGGTGTGACCCAGCCCACCTCTCTGTTCCTACCTTCTTCATGCCACAGTTGACAAAGGAGCCGTGGCCTGGCCGGGTGGGCCGATCCACCACGATGCCCTCTCGGAACTCGGATTCCTCGTCCTGACGCATGTGGTGGGGGCTGTCCAAGGGGTTCAGGAGCCCTGCAGAGGCAGGGCCGGGAGGAGTCTAGGAAGGGCTAGGGCACACAGGGTGCAGTGGGGACCCTGGAGCAGAGTCCCGGCTCTGCCACAGACCTGTGTCTTGGCGTCAGGCACAGGTCTTGCTCTCCCGGGCCTGCTTTCCCACCTGGACAGCGCAGGGTAGGACTGGGTGGTCTCTCAGTGTCTGTGGCACAATCCAGGGGAAATGGGGGGCGGGCCCACACAGTGTTACCTGCAAACTGTAGATCCTGGTGCTTGGGGAAGAACGCCTTCCTCAGGTACCTAGGAAAGAATGCTGACCTCAGGATGGTCCCAGGGGAAGCTACCTCCTCCCTGGCCTCCACTTTGACACACCCCTCCCTCATGCTCAGGGGAGTGACCCCCTTACTGCGGACACTCCAGGTACTGCAGGATCCGGGCCAGCTGTACGCACGCCTGCCCCTTCTTCCCAACTCCTGTGAATTCCCCCTCCACGGTCCTGGAGAGAGAGAGATGGGGGCTCAGCATCCAGCTGTGACCTTTAAGAACTCCTCTCTACAAGTGCACGCCTATAATCCCAGCTACTCAGGAGGCTGAGGTGGGAGGATCACCTGAGCGCAGGAAGTAGAGGCGGCAGTGAGCCATGACCATGCCACTGCATGCACTCCAGCCTGGGTGACAGCTGAGATACGGGTTTAGACCTTCTGGCTCCCAATCCCACCTCTGCAGTCATCACCCCCACCTGGCTAACCCTACCCCCTAAGGATTACAGAAGGAGTATTTCAGGCAGGACACGAGGGAAGAGTCAGGCATGTGGACAGGGGCAGGGTGAAGCCTCGGCCCATCCCGGCAGCCCCTCCCTCTCCCTGAACCCTGGCACCCTGTGGGATGGCCCCTCACTTGGCATCCTGGCCCTCCTCATCAAACACCACGATCTCATCCACACAGAAGATGGCACAGGCTCTGGCAATCTGACCGGCCAAGTAGGTCCGAAGCTCCGGCGACTGAGCATTGTCCAGGATGGAGCCCGGCAGGGCTACGCTCAGTGTGTAGGGCCGCCCTGAGCAGGGGAGGGGTGTTTCCAGTCAGCCTGAGAGGCAAGGGCCCCCCACCTTCCTCTCTCTTTCTCTGTCCCCAGCGTCCATGGTTTGAGAATTTCCTTTCCCAAGTGGGAGGAATTTTGAGATGAGCAAAATAGATTCAACTCCCCTCTCTGGGCCTCAGTCTCCCAGGAGGAAAATGGACGCAGCCATCTCCATGGCTCCTCTGAACAGGGCAGACCACTGGGCGAGGCTGTGGAGCAGTTAGGAGCAATGGCCTAAGTTCATATCCTGGCTCTCCCACTTAGTGCCTCAGTTCTCCAGCTATCAAATGGGGATAAAATAAAAGCTGATATCCAATAAAGCTGATATCTAGTGTGTGCACATTAACCCGATAGCCATTAACCTGATCCTTAGTGAGGATACTGCCATTATCCCCATTTATAGACCAGGAGCCTTCAGCCCTGGGAAGTCAAATACATGGCCCAAGGTCACACAAAAGGTGGTTCATGCCTGTGATCCCAGCACTTTGGGAGGCTGAGGCGGGCGGATCACC